GGGTGAGGATCTGAGTGTTGGCTGTAAGGCAGGTTGTCTCACTATGGATATATGTATTGGTGCCCATGGTACTGTACAAAAGGAATTCTGTTTATGTCTTGCTCTTTTGCAGATAATCAGCATCAATAGTTCTTTCCTAATTTCTATGGGATATATGTTGTTTGGGCTACCTAGTGAAGTGTTACTCCAGAGCCTTGAAGTCAAATTTTAGTCCTTCCAAGGAGTGAAGTCCTCACAAACTCCTGTTACAGGATGGTTTTATAGAAAGTAAATTCTATTACATTAAAAAAAGATAAATCCTTCTTTGGCTTTCATCCCGGTGATGCTGTGATGCTTACAGCTGGAAAGCCATCCTGCTTTCTCTGCATTTCTGTTTATCTATTGGAATGCTTTCCATGCAATCTGTAACCATCAGATTCTTCATGTGTTTTTTGGCTGTTCTTTCTTGCCCGCAACCACAAGCTCTTTATGGCTAAGATTGGGTTGGTTGTTGTTTTTTTTTTTTCTTGTACAGCTGGGACTGCATGGGTAAAGCTTTGCAAATAAGAATCAATGTTTCTAAAATCAAATGTCAGAATGATAAATGAAAAGGTCAAGTACTGGGATTCAGATAAATTTCAGCAAAGCTTAAACTTGAAGTGTATGTAGAACTGAAGTTTACTTAAAATACCTTAAACCTGAACTTGAAAAGCTCAGAAAAACTCAAACACTTAAAACAGAAGTGGTAGGTAGGCTTTCTCAGGCATACCACATGGATTAAATACCCCTTGTCCTACTGCTTGTTGCAGTTCTGGTCAGTTGTTGGAGGTGAGATTGGTTGTTCTTGTTTCTGCCCATCCTGTAGATCTTCTTTTTGATTAAAAAAAGGGCAAAAAATTGTTAATGGACAACTCTTGAGACTGGCACGAGGTTTCCTTTCTTAGATGTGTATGGTGTAGAACCAGTGCCAAAAAGACCAAGTTTGAATGGGGAGTGATGGGAAAATGGAAAAACCATTTTGGAATTCCTGTCTACACGGTGTTCAGCATCCTTCAGCATTACAGCTTGTGTGTGGGCTGGGTTGATCTGAAGGACCATTGACCTTCCTCTCATATTTGCCCTCAAAATACATACTTTGCCTGCAATGCCTTGATGAAATAAGCCACCTAATTATGGTTAAATGAAATGGTAGCTGGGAGTAGTGGAGGAAAAGGATTTATTGCTGCAGCACTAGGTGTTTGTATCCCTTCCTACTGCCTGTGCTTGTTTGTAAACTCTTTGGGGCAGAAGCTTCCTTTGCATTGGCATTTTTACAGCATGTAACCAATGGAGCCCTAATCCTAGATGAGATTTTGGGATCCACAGTAAAGCAAATAAATGCTTTTTTCCTTTCTTTCCCTGTCAGAGTTACCATGCCCAGTGAAATGAAGAACAGTCATTTGTCCTTACCCATGAAATTTTGTGCAAAATAACACTGAAGTTCTATAGAAGAGACTTTAATACAACTGACTGTATTAATTCTTTAATGCTTAACAGAGCAGAAAGGTATCCATCCCATTTGGAGAAGGCTTCAGTAGCATTCTATTTTACTGACCTGTGCAGATTTTTATGATGTCTAAAACCACTGTTGCTTTGAAGAGCTTGAACCTGGATTTTCATTTCATGTCCTACTTTCAAATTTGCAAATGCAAGGGATTTCACTGTGGTATCCTAAGGTGGAAAACCTAATATAATTCCAGAAACATTGCAATATAATTGTCTGGATGTATATAGAGCATGTGATAAACCTCCCAGACATTGAAATTCAAAAGATTCAGCTATTTGAAAGAAATAATATCAATGTTTTAAGTGCAGACAGCTGCTGCTGGAGCAAAACCTACTGGCTGCCATGAGGATGCCCATAGCTGAGTGGGAGCTGGGCAAGGGAGGTGGGATTTATATTTGCCTGTTCAGGTTAGTTTGGCTTTCAGGGCAGGTCATGTGCAGTCCAGATCCTGATCCCGCAGTGGGGCCAGTTATTCTCACTGCAGTCTACCATGTCTGAAAGAGCCAGTTCTTCCTGCCCAGAAAGATAGAAATTGCTTTCTGGGGCTCATAGAAGGAACTGTCTTGAAGGATGTGCTCCTCTTATAATAGGAGAAAATGCAGTTTAACTCTTTTCTCCTGTTTTTTTTTCTCCTCATTTTCACACTTGAAGTAAATTGCATATTAGGGTCCTTATGAATCTTGATTTGGTTATGACCGGTATGATCTGCCTTTTGTTTTCCCTTTTCTTACTAGATTAAAGTTTTTTGAAGTTTTTCAGAGGCTGTTCCCTGCCTTCCCACTAGTTGGAGAAGTCCACTTGTCTAGAAACCTAAATTTAGTCCTTTGTTGACGCAGAGTAGTCATTCAGGCTTATCTGTCACTCAGTTTTTCTCCTATGTTTTTGCCAAAGCACTTCCTAACAAGATAAAATAAGATATCTTCCAAACCTGCCTGTCTCCTTGCAAACTAAGTTTGCATACTTAGAAAAATTGGAATGACATGTGCATAATGAACTGAGAGATCATTTTAAGTTACTGATGTAAGGGCCAACTGTTAAGATAAGGGGCAAGAAAATCTTCCTTCAGGAAGTATTTCCAGGATTTTTTGACAAGACCAAGTGTTCAGCAGTGTCACCTTATTTTCCTGCTGCTGCTGTGCACTCCTCTTGCCAAAAAAACCCAACGTAAACTGGTCATGACTTTGAACTCACAGTCCTCCCCTTTTTTCCTAGGTGAGAGGTGTTGATATTCTCCCTTCCTTACACATCAAGTATGTGCTGCTTTTGGATTCTATGACTTGTGGCACTTTCATCAGAGCCAAAACCACCTCTACCACAGAAAGAGGTGACCCAGGGGCAGTTTGTAATGCCACCCTGTCCTGATCTGTACGTGTCTTTCTCCTCTTTCTCATTTCTCTGTCGACTCAGCTGCTCCCAAGCATCCACCAGGAAGGTGATGGAGCAGAACAAAGCAGTCTGTACTTCTGTCAGATGACAAAGCTCAGAGGATGCCATCTCACTTTATTCCTTGAATTGCAGGAACCTAAAGGCTCTGTTGAGGGCATGCTCCTCTGCAGCTGATGTTTCATAGAGATCTTTGCTACTTTCAGTGCAGCCTGTCTGAGCCAGACAGCACAGGAAAGCTCCTTTTACTGGTTTGCACCAATGGTCTTGAAAGGAACAGTCATATTAATACTCATATTGTCTGCTCCATAAAAAAGGACCAAATTACTGTATTAGACCAGAAGTCTGAATTTTGCTTCCTGAGAGAATGAGACTTTCTAAAAATTCAAAAGTGAAGTGAACTTAAAAAGAAGTTTTTGCACCCATCGTTTGACTTCCATAAGATAAAATAAAATAATAAATGGATAATGGTTTTGTGCCCCTGTTCAGGATACCCAGGTTCAGAATAGGAGAGAGAGGCTGAAGTAGGTCATGAGGGAGATTGGCAGGGTTTGTCCATTTTTTTTTTCTTTTTGTTTCTTTTTTTTTTCTTTTATTTTTGTGCCCTCAGTAGGACTTGAATTCAGGAGCATGTTGTAGGGCACAAGTGAGGTTTGCTTGCAGAGCTGTCCTTGGAGCTCACCTGCTCAAATGAAAGCTAGGGCTACTAATCTCCCGTTTTGGTGAGTCAGTCTTCAAAAGAGCTGAAAATACAGTGAAAATTATCAGTCATAACCGTCTTGAGACGTTCTTGCTGTACGAAGGGGAATCTCAAGGTTGAAAATAGACATGAATTGGACTAGATTTAAAACTATTGTAAAATATCACTGGCTGCCTCAGAGGACCTTTTGCAGAGGGGCTGTTTTGATGCACAAGCTTGGCAGGTCACTCTGGCATTTTAAAGCAACTGGTACAAAAACATTTTGTAAAATAAGGAGAGCGTGTGAAGGAGCAAGGATAGCTGGAATCAGCTAAGAAAACTTAGGCTGTGGTTTCATTTCTGTCTCACTGAAGGCAAACTGTGGGATTTGGACAGGAGCAAAGTATGAACAAGATCCTGTGTTTTTTGTGTGAAAAGCAGAGTGGTATTTCATCTATTTTAAAAAGGGTTTGAAGTATTTGCAGAGCATTACCAGTACTGCAGACATGAGTAACAGAAGAAATTCCATTTTTAATTGTTTTGCATTCCTTCATCTTAGGATCCTGGATCTCTTAATGCACACATTAAATGAAAACTTAGAGCTTTTGTTTAGGGTGAATATTTTCTGCTGCAAGAGAGGAACTAATGCAAGAGAAATTCTGGCTCAACTGATTAAAAGCTCAGTACAGGAAACTTTCACCATGTTATAGAGAAATTCCAGAGACAGACCTGAAAGAGGAAACGGTCTTGGCTAAAATCACTTTTGTTGGATGAGTAATGGTAGTTTTTGACTATGAAAAATGCTGATGCAGAATCGTGAGCATCATCTATTTTGGAAGTTTTTCTTCAGTTTTCCAAGGAGCATTTTTGATTTTTTTTTTTTAATAGTTTTGAAATATTTTTGAACAAATAATCCAGTGAAAAGGGTGAAAAATGGCACCACACTCACTTGGGCAAGGTAGTAGGTGGATTTCTTGAGCAGCAGAGAGAACTACAAAGGTTTACAGATGCTTTTTTGTGGGGGAGTGGGAGAATTGGTGGGAAGGATGGCAATTAAGGATTCATAATTGTCATAAAAAAGCAGATATGAAGTGAAGGTTGCTAGGAGGACAGATGAAATGAGATGGACATGAAGGGGAAGTGAATTTCACTTGGGGGATGTCCTCAGCACCAACACTGCAGATGGCTCAGATGAGCACTTTACTAATTATTTTAGAGTTGTCTTTGCTTAATGTGAGGATAAATTTAAGAAAAAATAAAAAATTGACAGATTCTTGTTGATCCAAAGGGACACAATAGAAAATTGCTGTGTAAAAGTGATTATTGGAAGAAGTACTAAGAAGCAGCTTATAAAGAAGTACCTAAAATATTATGAAAAATGGCTTAAACTTGCTTTTTCTTTTTTTGTTTCAGTGTTCTGAGGTCATGAAACTTAATCCACAGCAAGCCCCGTTATATGTGAGTACCAATTAAAATACTTTTTTTTCCTTTTCTACTGTTCACACAAAATGCTTCCCACCATCTTTTTGGAGATGCTACTCCTTTTCTCTTTGCTCCCTGAGGAGGTTATTTATATTAATTCAGTTACAAATGCTCAGTGATAAAGCCCAGGTAAGTCACAGAGCTCCTCTGGCTTTCCAGCAGACTGTTTTAAATAACTTTTGAGCCATACAATGCTGTCTCTGTGCAGGTATCCCCTGCTTTTATTTTTTTCCCCTCCCCTGGAGCTCACGGCTGCGCTCGTGTGACTTGATGTGTTGAGAGGTGGTAAGAAGAAATTGCCTGGGTGGAAAATGGGGCATCCCAGCGTGCAGTGCTTGCCCACTGTGGTAATATTTTTCTGGTTGCAGTTTTAAACGTGGCAGGGAGGAACTGGAAGCAGCACAGGGCTCGGCTGCAGCGGGGTATGGTTTACGTCAGCCTCCTGGAAGCTCATAACCTCCGTGGCTCCATTAGCAAGGAACAAGCTTCCTCTTGCTCTTGAATAGCAGCTTTGTTGCAGAACATGGGGACTGTCAAATTAGACCTGGGATTGCGGGGGTGTGCGAATGTGTGTGTTAAATTTGTGCCAAAGCTGCCAGCCAGGTCTGTAACTGTTTGCTTTCCATGTTGCCTTGCCCCACTCGGAGCAGCGTTAGCTGCTGCAGCTCATGGCCCTGCCCTCGCCAGCAAGGGCAGAGCTGGATGCAAGGATGGAAAATTTGAAGGAAAAATTGCTTGCAAATGTGGCTTTTAAAGGGAAGGAAGAAGAAACAATCAGGACTGTTAGTAGACCTGTATCTTGGAGAGTGTGGTGTGTTGTAAATAATGGATCATATTCACCTTTAATGCCATGGAAGCTTTAAATTTTGCCTACTTTCAATTACCAACTGGAAGTCTGTATTGGAATTTATTCTCTACTTATTGTGCTAAGTCTTGTGCTTGAAGCAAGATTAAAACACTACGTAGTGTGACCTGACTTCAGGAGGGTGCTTTCCATATTCTGTATTTTGAAACTAAATGTTGCCTGAATTTTGTTAAATCTCAAGCCTATTGAATGCACCTTGACTTTAAAGAAACTTAATTTAAGCTTAAAACACATTAAAAGAGAATTAAACTTATGTTCAAATATGTGATAGAGTTGCTAAAGTAGAAAGATGTGAATGGTGGAATGCAGGATAAAATTATCCTTATGTCATTTGAACAGTGTATGACTTAACTAATCAGGAGGCTTTGTTTTCTCAGTCTTATCTACTGAATGAGTTTATTTTCCCACTGTTTTGTGTGGGGTTTTATTTAATATGTAACACTGAAGTGGTACACTTAGAAGTCCTCATCCCTATGTGATAGTGAGAACTGGGCTGAAGTAAAACGTAGCCCAGTGTAAAATAATGATTGTATGGCACTTGGTGTACTGGTTCTTTGCAATGTTAATAAGTCTGTGACAAGACTATTAATACCTCAGTGACTCCCTTTTCTCTCTTCCTTCTCCCCCCCTGACCAGGTGTATACCCAAATCAACTCCCTTTTAAAACAAAAAATTTTGGTAGCTTAAGGAAATTTGAAAAGTCAATATTTAGTTGTTCTGTTTGCTCTCAGTATAAATGCTTTGTACATTTTAAGATCAGCTTTGTTTTCCTTGTGTTGCTAATTGACAGCATGTCTGAGAGTTGTTAGGTTTGAGCAGAACATAAAGAATAAAGCATCCTCCTGGTAATTTTTCCAAGGGTAGACACAAGAGACTTGTAGCCTCACCATTGGTAGGTGAATAGCAAACTTCATCAGGTTCCTTCTTCAAAGAGATGGCAACTCTGTTTTCCACATAGAGGCTCCTAGAGCCTGTTTTCAAATAACTGAGAACAGTATCCTGTGAATTTCTCCATGAGGAATTCCATCTCTGTAAACCACTGGAAATAACAGGCAACACTGACATATCAGAGCATCTCCCTGTATTTGTCCACTCTCAGGAAAATTTGCTTCTCCCACTCTTCCCTGTTTTGTTCTTGACACCTCTGCATTACATCCTTTGCACTCTTCCTTTTTGAAGCCACTAGCTTAGATTCAGGATTACATAATTTTGTTTATTATTTTACTAAATCTTGGATAAGTTTCATCCTGAAAGCTCCATTAGATAGTTGGTTTTATCAGCATTACTTTTAGAAGCTCCTTTTAGGAGAAGAAAGTAAAAAATTGTCTCCAGTTCAGTTCCTGGAAGCCACTTAGAGAGCTAGATCATATTTTATTCTATCTGATAATCACCAGTTTGCCCAGATTAATGCTTCATAATTAAGAAAAGGGATTTGGGAACCTGAGATGTCCAGTGTACTTGAGACCAAAGTTTTGTGGGTGATGGAAAAGATTGTACTTTCGAATACACACTAACAGGGGGTTAGAGATTCTTGTATTATTCAAATCGATGTGCGTGAACAGAAAGAAGACCACCTGCTGCATCCTTCTTGGTACTTTCTTTTGGCTGCTTGGACTTTATTTACCTCTTCTGTAAAAGTCATCTGTCCTGCCCCTGCAGAGCTTGTGACCACTGGAGGTCATATGACGAGACTACTGGCCTTTGTAAGTGTGAAGATTAAGAAATAAGGTGGAAAACACATCCTGTAATAATGACAACAAATGTCATGTTTTTGTGATTAAATAAGTCACATTTAAGCATTTCTTGATTGTTCTCTGGTTAATGAGGTTGCCAGGAACTGGAGCTCAGCATTGTATTGCTGCAGGTTTGGGCTGGAACCGCAGCTCAGCTTTTCCTCTGTCAACAGCTGTTCCCAGGAGCCAGGTCCCCCCCGGAGCATGGTATCTGTCACCTAGAGCTGTTTGTTACCTCCCTTAATGCCGTTTAACGAGCTCCCCTGGCCCCGGGTGCTGCTCACAGCAGCACAGTCATGGGGCAGAGGGGCTTGTGCCAGGAGAGATAGGGCAGGGGAGTGTTCCTCAATATAGCCCGGGTGTGATACCACCAGTGCTCACACAGGCTGTGGATCAAGCAGCTCTTCCATCCTACCACTGTCAACACGTCATTGCCTTTAGAAAAGGCAGTGTGACTTTGCAGAGCCTGTGGCTGAATATTGTGGGGTGGATTTGAAATAAAAATGTTCAAATCCATGTCCTTAAGATGCATTGATTTCTTCACCTGCAAAAAAGGATCCATGTGGCTGGACAGTCCTTTGGTTACCTGCACTTAGACTGCAGTTGGGAATACCTTTCTTGATGCACAGATACTGCTTTAAATCCCAAACTAACAGTGCTGTCCTATTGCTACAGGAATTCTTATCAGGCACAGCATACTGGATGAAGGGTAGTGTTTCAAACCTTGTTTCTGATGTGCCTGGGACTTTGTGCTCAGGAAGTCCAGGGTGTCAAAGCTGAAGGACCAAGCTGTTTGTTTGCTACCAGTACTGGAGTGGAACAGGAGGGTTGCAGGAGTCTTTGGTTGATGAGAGGTGGGAAGTCAGGAGCTTCAGTTTTGTTTGTTTTCCTTAAGTACTTGCAAGGACCTTACTGATCATCTTTTTATAAACGTTCTATCTCTCTATCATCAAAAGTCAAAATTTTAACTTTACTGTAAGTTGCTTCCTAGTTCTTGTCAATGTGTTATTGCAATATCCAGATCCAGGAGTGAAAAAAAAAGGATGAAAAAGGTTCTAAACAATGGAGGTTTGTTAGTAAGTGACCTTTTTATTGTTGTGATTCACTAAGCTCTCTTTTTACAGATGAAATAGTACAAATTAGTCACTTAGCTTAAACTCCACTGTTGCTAACATCCAGGCAAGTGAAAGAAAATGGGAGAGAGCTTTGCAAAGGTGAAGTGTTGATCTTTTTAGAAACATTGTCATTAATTGGGAGTCCAGCAGAGTATTCAGCAGGAGATGTAATTACAAAAGGATTAAGGTTTCTGAACAAAACTTAAATAAATATTGAATGCATGGGAGGGAATTAACAAGGTTGAGTCTTCAGCTACATAAAGTCCTGAAAATTGTACTTCAAAAGTGATGTGTGTGGCTTCTGATTTCAGCCTCTGCTGGCTGTGGGGTCTTTGTAGTGTTATTGATCGTTTTTCTAACCTACGTTTCTAACCACGTCTCCTGCCACTCTGAAATCAATGTTGATTTGGTTTTGGTTTTTTGGTGTTGTTTTTTTTTCCCCCAAAAAATAACCTGAGAGTAGTATTGGGTATGAATGTTTTGGAAAAGGACTGGGGTGACAAGCAGGGAACGAGTTGGGGAAGCATTAAGCTCATCTACTCTTGATTACAACCAAGGCTACAACCTTAGATCTGCCTTTATGACAGGAGTGTTTTTTCATGGTGATAATGATCAGTGGGTGTGAAATGGAAAAGATTAGCAGCTGGAGAAGGGTGATGTATTGCTGCAAACTTTTTTCCTTTTTCCTTTTAGATTAAAAGGAACAAACTTGTTTTAAATCAGAGCACTCCTCTGCATGGTTTGCCTAAGGTGTGCCCACGTTATTTGGAGTGACAAACCTAAATGTGTCATAACTGGTGATTGCATGAGAGGGCAAACATTTAATTGATAAAAATGCTGCCATTGACTTTGGTCTTTAATCAGGTCTGTGGATGGAGTCTCTTGTCTAAACTGCCACTTAGGAGCTGTGTAACCTGCAGAGTTTCTCAAGGAGACTTTTTGATAGAGATGAGAGCTCCCACTTCCAAGGCAAAATGTCACGCAACTTAATGAAGTATGAACTTCAAAAGGCTCAGAAAGAATGCATTGACCCTCTCTTAATATAACCTAGGGTTTGGGTACAGTAGGTCCTCTCTTCTGTTAATGAATGAACTGCTCCTGTAAATTTCCCAGTGTGTCTTGCTTTAATCTAAAATGGAAAAAAACGATAATACTTATAATATTTTTTTCCCCACTTACATATTCATATTGAATGATGTCCTACTGAAGTGCACTGTTTATTCCTGAGAAAAGCAATTGTGATACCCTCTGATGTTTGTGTTT